GAGAGAGAGAGAGAGAGAGAGAGAGAGAGAGAGAGAGAGAGAGAGAGAGAGAGAGAGAGAGAGTTGAAGGACGCAACATTCATGCAGGGGTGGGGTGGATATCACAACCGGGATGGGTCCACTTTTGTACACCGTGTCATGGCTGTAGTGTTTAAGAAACTCGGCTCTTGAGGCTCAGGGCGCCTGTTCAGATCCGTGCACGCACGGACGAGGTCAAAGGCTGATAAAAGTGAGAACTGACAGAAGCCATCCCTAGTACGAGAGGACTGGGATGGGTCACCCTATGGTGGGCCCGTTGTCATGCCAGTGGCATTGCCGGGTAGTTACGCTGGTATGGGAGAACCGCTGAAAGCATATAAGCGGGAAACCCTCCTTGAAAAAAGTTATCATATGTGTGTGTGTGTGTGTGAGTTGAAGGACACTACAGCCATACAGGTTTGGCGTGGATATCACAACCGTTATGGGTCCACTTTTGTACTCCGTGTCATGGCTGTAGTGTTTAAGAAACTCGACTCTTGAGGCTGAGGGCGCCAGTTCGGATCCGTGCGCACGGACGAGGTCAAAGGCAGATAAAAGTACAGACTACTCCACGTGCTCACAATCTGTGTCTCAGCATGCTAATCATCCATCAGGTTCAGTTTGTCTATTGACTCTATTCAGTCCAGATTTTATTATAGGCAGGGCATGAACCAAATCACAAACCCTAAACCAGAAAGGGATGATTGATGGACTCCGTTGCCTCATGTGTGGACAACCCAACAGTTCAGTCTCCCTCATTCCACTTCTCTTCTGAGATACGGTTGCTCCCTTTGCTTTTTCCTTTCCGGCCTGATTCCACTGGAACAGAACGGAGGGCCAGGATTATCATGTCAGATGGGAAGACTGGAAAACATGTTTGTGGGTGTGGGTGTGTGTACACGTGTGTGTGTGTGTGTGTTTGTGTTTGTGTTTGTTTGTGTGTGACGATGTGTGTGAAGCACACATATAAATCAGCCTCATCATGGTAGAAGACGAAGACCATGCACAGTACCACCACAACACTCGAGGAGGAAAGCACGGATCTGAGTGAATCAAGTCTAAAGACAATGCTCCAAGTGATACACTCAAATAGACAGATTGGGCATTAAAAGACAGAAAGAAAAGGCAAGTCTGTGTGATTGTCCGTAATTTTGTCATCATTGTCCGTAACTGTGTGTGCTTGTCTGTAATCTCTTTGCGTCGTTTGCGATTGCATCCGTGCTTGATTCTGCATGCTCATTCTGTGTCCATGGCTGGTCAATATCCGTTTGTCAAATCTTGTTTGTTTATGCAATCTCCTCAATTTTTTGTCTCTCTCATCTTTTGGGTCTATTTGAGATCTGCATGTGGATAAAAAATGGTGAATGCACTTTGTGCAGGTGTCGTCGTTGGATCTTGTCCCAAGCGATGGAAGCCTCTTGCTGATCGTGTCGCACAACGGTGACACTGGTTTATGGGAGGATGTGGCTCGACGGGCTGCTGATAGCTTTAAGGTGCCTTTGAAGATGGCAATTGTCTGGCCCTGTGCAAAGGATGACAAGCTAGCAGAGGGTTCTCCGATCGATCAACGGGAGTGTATCGAGTCCCCAGCGGGCTGTTGGTGGGACATGGAGGGCAGGGATACCGATAAGGTTGAAGTTTTGGATATTCAGGGTGTATGGAAGGATATCTGTTGGAAAGGAGAGACTGGTGCAGATCCAGTGCTTCTCGTCAGACCTGACGGACATGTTGCCTGGCGGTCCCACTCTAATTGCACCGAGGATTGTGTCCCACTCGTTGAGATGGTTCTCGGCCATGTTCTTTGCTACCAGATTGCCGGCCAAGTAATAACCAGAGCAGCACATGCAGCAGCGTAGACAAATGAAATCATGATGATGATAAAGACAATTGTTGAATAATATCTTTATCTGTTATCATCATCATGATTTCATTTGTCTACGCAGCGGACATGTGAGCAATTCGCCAGTGCAGGGAAAGGCCATGGTTGCATGAGGACAGTAACTGCCGAGGAGGCATCAAGCATTGGATGTGTCCTGTGAGCTTTAGGGATGTTATGTGAGTTTCTTCTTGTTTTGTTTTGTTTTTATTTTTCTTCGCTTGATTCCACTCGGTTTCGTTCCATTTCATTTCGTTTTGTTTCATTTTATTTCTTGTTTTGTTTGGTTTCCTCCCATTTCTTGTTTCGTTTCGTTTCTCGTTTCGTTCTTTTATGTTTTGCTTCAATAGGTTTCATTTCTTTTCTCTTTTTGCACCGTTTCATTCGTTTCGTTTCATTTCGTTGCGTTGCGTGGCGTGGCGTTGTGTTGCGTGGCGTGGCGTTGTGTTGCGTGGCGTTGCGTTGCGCTTTGCGTTTCATTTCATTTCATCTCGTCTCATTTGTTTCATTTCATCTCATTTCATCTCGTCTCATTTGTTTCATTTCATTTCATTTCATCTCGTCTCATTTGTTTCATTTCATTTCATTTCGTTTCGTTTTCGTTTCGCTTGATTTCGTTTCGTTTCGCTTCGCTTCGCTTCGTTTCATTCAAGTGCAACCTTATAGTTGTAGTATCTTTCATTCTGGTTGTTGCTCTTGCTATTGTTGCTGTTATGTTTTTTTTTCTTTTTTTCAACTTCTTGCTTTGGTTGCTATTGTGGTACTAGCTCGGCTGAAGGGTCAGTGTTAAGGGCTGGGGGGTTGGGGGGGTTGGGGTTTGAAGTTTTGAAGTTTAAACGTTTAATGTTCAGGTCTACCCTTGTCGAGAGAGTGCATTTTTAATTTTTTCCCAAGTTTAGTAGATATCCGACAGGAGCGTGTAGTCTCGTGGTAGTGCTATGAACCTCCCGCACTCAATCCCAATTCACGGCATGCACAAAAAGAAACATTCACATGAGAGTTCACACGAAGGCCACATGAATCAGGTGATGTCACAAGGCGCTTATAGAACTGGGAGGTTAGCTATGCTAAGGAAGGGAGTCCCTCTCTTAGAGGGCAAGGCAGCTTGAGACTCCTTCAATATCTATCATCAATAGGCAGGGCATAGGAAAAAATAGGAGCCTCTTGGGAATGACGGAACCAGCGTCTAACACACCGTGTCCTTCAGGGCTCGGCCTACCGGACGGGAACAGGCAGGCGGCACCAGGCAAAAAGATGTGATTCCATGCCGGAGCAGACTTCACAGAACTTGCTGCATGTAAGAAATTGGCATTGGAAAAAAGAGGCTGGTATATATTGGTGGTTCAAATATTTTAAAACTTTCCAGATCTAATTTCCGAATGATGTACGAGACCAGAGTAGTTCGTCTTTTTTTTCGGAGATGAAGAGGAAGCACTGCATTCAACCAATGTAATAAAATAGTAAATTGATAAGGCTAGAATCTTTTTTTTTTTTTTTTTTTTTTTTTTTTTTTTTTTTCAGAACCTCTTGGTTCTGGCTCCTACCATTCTGGGGAGCAACAGCTAGAATCTGTGAATGATGCTTTCTTTTTTTTAGTTTTTTTTTTTTTTTTTTTTCCTTTGGATGGTGGGGGTGGGGGAATTGGAAGGAAAAAAAAGAAGAGAAAACAAAGAGAGTCATTTGCCATTTTTTGGGTGAGGATTCCGAGGAAGCAAAAGCACTGCAGGCAAGCGATGTGTGTGCTACAGATATCACGATGTCATCGATATCTATTAGCCCTGCGGAGATTCGTGTACAGGAGAAGCTTTTGGGGAGGCATGCAGGTATGATGAGCTTTGTTTTTTTTTTGTTTTTTTTTGTTTTTTGCTGATGGTGGAGAGCTACATGGGGAAGCGCACCAACATATGCTGTTTATAGGAAGTAAGAAAATCATCACATGACTCATAGAAGTTTTTTTTTTTTATTGAAACATCGTTGGAGGGGACTATCTGCTAACAGGGTTGATAGGAGCAGCCCCTGTTAGCAGACCCCCGAGTGTCGATGGCTCCTTTCTATTAGTGGGGAGCAACACTTGCTGGAAATCGGGTCCATTGTCCCAGAGTTTACGAGCTTAGCCAAATGTTTGCGAAAATCAATCGGGTCGCAAGCCTGCCCTCCTGCGCAGGCTCTCCTCCTTCCGGAACCCCCCTCCCAGCCCTATCCCCCTTTCTTTCCCCAACTAGGCCACCCCCCTTATGACACCTCTCTATTGCCAGGACCCCCTAGCCCTTTTTGACTCACACGAAACTGCTGGCTCCACAGGTGTCAGTACTGCTGCTGCTTCCTCCTAGTGGTCATAGTCTGGCCCAGTCGGCAGGCCTCCTCTAGGACAGGTTTCTCCATGTTGGACAGGACAAGGGGCCTCCCAGGATGAGAGGGTTTATAGTAGAGGCAGGCAGGATAGACGGCTTGAGGGAGAGGGAAGCAGGGAAGGGCATGGTTAGGGTCAGGTGACTGGGGCCGAAGGTTAACCCGGGAGAAGGATAAAGTTTTGTTCTTGATGGGGGACCCGGAAATGCGAGAGTGGGAGTCTCTGTCGGGCGGGGTCCGTTTGTGACCCATCTGTTCCATACCAGGTTTTGATGCTCATCGAGATAGCGCAGAGAGTGGTGTTTGTCTACCCATATTGACTGGAGGGAATCCAGGCAGAGCTGCCTCCCAGTCTGATCCTTGGCTGCGTGCAGCTCCCGTTTCATTGCCTTCCACGCCTCCTGAGTGTGGGTGGTTATTGTGGTGATAGCTCCCTCCTTTGCTTGTTCGAGACCGAACAAGCATTTGCTTACGTTCGTGGGAGCACCACGTCCTCCAAGCCAGCATCATGAGGGTCAGCCGCATGTACGAGGACAAGTTGGTAGCAAACGCGTCTCGCTGTCGTGAGTGAAGCGTGGCTTGGCCCAGTAGGATAAGCAGCAGGTCCCACGGGAGGTGCTCCCCTACCAAGTGGTGCCAGGCAGAGTCCCACCATCTCCATAGCTGAGCCACCATTGGCCAGGCCGGGAGGCAGTGTTCCAAGGTGGCTCTCGCAGGCTGGGAAGACCTCCCGCAGTACGTGCAGATCGTCTGCTGGGCTGTGGGCATGATTTTGGAATAGCGAGCCCATGATAGCCCCGGCAGGACCTGAGGGTCCAGCGGAAATTCCCTTGCCCGTCTGTTCCGGTCCTTCCGGACCACCTCCGTTGTTGGAGGAGCCATTCGTGCTGCGTTCTGTAACCTCCCTTTACTGTGTATTGCCAGACTGGGATAGGCTTGGTTCCCAACCATTCCCACTCTGATGGGTCAAAGGGCAGCCTGCTGATAGGGATAGTGGGTTCATAGGCCCACTGCTGTTGGTGCTCATTTTGCAGCACCCCGCACTCTCACTAGCTGGCAGGGTGAAGCCTCACAGTCCTGGTCCTCCTGCCTGTGCATCAGGGACCATTGAGCGCCTGGCAGGTGAGGTCCATACGCTTCGAGTTTTGCTCAGGTTAAGGAGACTTGGCTAACCCGGTATATACTAACATAGGACCTCGCCACACCATTCTCCAAATGTGAAAAAGACAAAAATGTGGTGGGTGCATCAGAGATAAGTTCATTCTCATTTTGCACATTTCGACAGTGGTGTGGCGATGCCCATAGGCACGGGGAGATCAGAGAGTCGGGTTGCATATAGAAGTCTCCGAAGGTCATTTGAAACAAAAAAAAAAAAAAAGTTTTTTGGAGGTCATCGTGTTGTGGCTCTCGTATCGTTATCAAGTTTAAACTTTAACCAGCAGTACAATTTCCGGCCTCCAACTCTATAGGTCGTATACAAGCAGGCCGCACTTTTGATGTATCTGCCTGGTGGAGACCTGTTCAATTCAATTGGGCGCACGGAAAATTGGTTCGGCAAATTAGCGTTTAGGCCCTTTAGGGTTCTGCTCCTTTAAAGTGAAACCTAAAATGGACAAGGTGTAACTTCCGTAATAATCTTGAATTACCTGGGGCCAGTCGACGGTGCATATATCTCAGGACTGCCGCCCTTTTTTTTTAACCACCAGTACTTGGCCCAGCTATCGGCCAGAGAAAAAAAATAGAGTAGAAACATTTTTAGTCGGATGAATTTGGGCGCTCCGGTAGTGGCCCGTACGTTTCCTAGAATCGTGGCTTGTATATGGGCACGACGTTAGGAACTATTGGTCGTTTAACAAGAAAAAGAGGACTCCGTATGGTAGGAGGGGTGTCTACTGCCCTCAAGAGTCAAAACTGTCTCTGCCCACTGACCATTGTGGCCCATTTCAGGGTCGCGTTTATTGAATCTTATGATGCTTGCCACTATTATACACACTTTCTTTTTTTCTTTTTTTTTTCTTTTTTTTTTTTTTCTTTTTTTTTGGAAGAACAACCCGATCAGATGCTAGGTGTGCTGATAAGAGCAGACACGTCTAGCACCGTCGAGGAGGCTCCATCTATTGGTGGGGAGCAGCACCTGCTGGAAACCGGGTCCAGCGCCCCTTTGATACATCATACAATTCACAGGTTGCTGTTTGTTGTTCCCCGGGGCTGCGGCCAATTCAAACTCACCTTGGTGCTCCGATATCCCTTAGGGCTGCTAGTGACACCCATCCCTTCTTAGGAGCACCCCTTATCTAATAGCCCAGCCCTGTCTCAGCAGCCCCCTTGTTTGTATTGAACACACTTCCATGCAGTGTCCTGCTGCACTGCTGACATGGCGCTGGTGGGATCGCATGTGGCGTAAAATGGCACCAGACACACCTTGGCCATGGTCCTGGCAGGCCATACTGGCAGGTCACTGCCCGACATTGTCACAAGCACCCACCTTTGCGGACAATCTGGACAGACTGGGTAGACGGACGACTCTGTGGACACTTTGATGGCAGCGCTGTATCCTGGCTTTGGAAGGGGTTAGAGTAGAGGGCCCCGAGCTGACAGGGCAGATCAAGGAGCTCGTTGGACTGGAACTAATGCGAGGGTGGCACGAGCTCAAG